TGGGTACCTGGTGCGTAAACACCGCCACTCGGGAGACGAAGGCGGTCGGGTGTGGTGCTGGCCACCCCCACCACCTCGTGTGCCGTGCCGGCCTTCATGGGTGCTCGCTAACGGCACTGGCCCCAACAGTCTGTGTTTGGCCAGTATTGCTCGTGGGTGGTGCAGATGAAGCGGGCGAGCAGCCATTGTTCTGTACCCAACTCTTTCCTATCAAGGGAAACGTTATATCAGCGGCTGGTTTGAACAGCGCCGTATGGCAAGGCCACTTTCAATCAATTTGTTACGAATTTAGCCGAGTGGTGGCCTTTCACTGCCAGCCGAGCGCATCGTGCTTTGCGCATCTCCATGGCTTGGCCCGCGTCGCACCGTCTCGTTGGCTGGCGGGCTGTCTAATTAGTTTCTCGTGCTGCTGGCTGGCTGCCTGGCTGGCTGCCTGGCAAGCTAAATGGGTTGGCTGTCTCGTGCACTGGCAAACTTGCTGTACATTTCATTTCGCTTTTTGGATGGTTGTTTCGTTAACTTGCTGAGCATTGTGTCTGTCTGGTCGTGTGCCTAATGTCTGTCTCACTTACTACAGCGACGTTCCATCTGAAGACGGATGCTTGTGTTGCCTCCGAAACGTCGTGATTTAATTTAGTTGTTTTCATTTATTTTATTTTTTACCTAAGTGACTTTACCGAAAAAACCAAAGAGTTATGAACCCTTGCAGTCACGAAAGCTTAAAATCTAGAATTAATGTCTGTCTGTCTTTCTGTCTGTCTCTTTGACCAGCTGTCTGCCTCTGTGTCTTGACCGTCTGTGTCTGCTTGCATGTCTTTCTGTGTGTCTTGCTTGTCTGACTGGGTGTTTTTATCGTATCTCTGGCTGTGTGTATCTCTCTGTGTGTTTGCCCATGTGTCTTGATTGTCTGTCTGTATGTATAGTGTGTCTTTGTGTCTTGATTGTTAATTTTGCCGTGTATTTATGTAGCGGTTAGCGCGCTGCGCTACGAACCCGATGACCCGAGTTCAATTCCAACTCACTGTCAACACCAGTGGCAATTATCTAAACCGGTCATGGGCCTCCCCTAGATCGATTCAGCCTCAAATGAGTACCTGGTGTGGTGTGTAAACATCACCGCTGGGGAGACAAAGGTGGTGTGGCGTTGGCCACCCACCCTCTCGTGTGCCGTGCCTGCCTTCATCGGTGCTCGCTAACAGCACTTGCCCGAACAGTCTATTCAGGCTATACGGGGAAGCTTTGTCTTTGCCTCTGTCTTGATCGTGTGTGTGGCTGTGTGTGTCTAACTGGCCGGCCACAGCGCTATAAGCAATGTCTCCTTTATATTTAGCCGTGGGGAGTCGCCCAGAAAACAGCAGCCCTCGCAGCACCTGCCGGGACCTGCCTTCCCAAAATACCCCGCAAGGAGGGGGGGGGAATGGTGGAAGCCCATGCAGGGCATCGAGGGTGCGTGGGGTGAGGGGCGGGCAGGCGGGCCGGCCAGCGGAAAGCGGGGTCTGGGTGAAGCATAGGAAGATGCACCGGGAGCCCAGAGCTGGCAGCAGAGGTCGCAATCGGGTACCCGATACGCGTACCCTACCCGATACCCGACTACCCGTACCCGGCCGGGTACGGGTACCCGTTTACGACCCTGGTGCGGCCGGTTACGGGTAAGGAATCAAAACCCGTTTGCGACCTCTGGCTGGCAGGGTTGGCTCTTGATGGTCCACAATGGCCGTGTCGGAGGCACCGAGCCGGCTCCGCTGAGATCCTGGGTTCCACAGTGGCTAGGAGATGTTAACTACTACCCCGCCTGGTATACAGGAGGTCGGTGGTTCGATCCCGACCCTGACGCATGTATAGTTGGAGTTTGGATATCTCTCTCTCTCTCCGTGGCAGGATGTTATAAAGGTTTGAGATGAGTGTAGCCCAAGGGTAAATGGGCGGGGCTAGAGATGAAATTTGCATGTAAATGTAAGATCGGAGAGCTGTGAGAGATTAACATGTCAATGTAATAACTTTCCATGTAAATGTAAAATGGGAGAGAGCTCGGCAAGAGCCACCGCCACATTGAGGAAAACGAGCAACGGTGGCTGTGTTAATGAATGTAACTCAGAGAGTCGAAAATAACTGCTAACATCGACAGGTAGGATGGAAACATCACAGCCAGTTATGACCTAAACTGGTTAATAACGTCCTTCCAATGATTGCTCAGTTTGTACCCATCTTCTCGGTTGAAATCGTGTCTGTGTTTATATATCTGGATGGCTTCATGAATGAATCTTTGCTGATAGCCAGTGGGTTTGCAGAGTACCTTGGTCTTGGCAAAATCTATTTCGTGTGTGCCCACAGCGTTAAAAAAATGCTCAGCCACGGCCGAGGTATTGGTCGGTGCTGCAGATCTGCCTTATGTTCACGGACCCGGTCCGAGACATGTCCCTTAGTTTCCCCAATGTAACTGCTGCCGCATACGCAGCTTAGTTTGTAGACACCGGGGTATTGCTTGTCAGGGATCACATCCTTCAAAAATGGGATCAGATCACGCATTTAATGTACTGTGTTGAATCGAACCTGGATCTTGTTTTGATCATGATTTTGGATATATTTTTGGTGACCCCTGCTATGTATGGCAAGGTGATGGTTTAGATTGGGTCCTCAGATGGTTCTTTCCCAACGGTTGGGGTGATAGCTTTACGGATTGTGGAGTCTGAATATCCATTCATCTTGAGGGCTTGGTGTACGTGCTCCAATTCACTGGCAAGGTGGTGATGGTCGGAAATACAACGAGCTTTATGGTGTAGAGTTTTGATGAGGGAATTCTTCTGGGATGGATGGTGGTGGGAGTCAGGTTTTAGTACGGCATCCGTATTGGTGGCTTTCCTGTAGACGGATAATTCAAATAGACTTCAAATATATCCAACGTTTTAACTCTCACGTGAGACATTTTTTTTCTGTACGTGAGTATGCGTGTGGGAAGGTGAGCTTCCTCAGTGTGTGAATTAAAAAAAAACTCTCTTGAATGTATCTTTGAAGTAGTTTTGTGACCTCTCTTCAGCGATGATTATGCAATCGGGAAAAAATTGATGACTGTGAGGATTTATTTTTCGTGAGGTCATTGGTGACCTGCCCGAGACCATCAGCTCTGTGAAGTAGAGAGAACCCGGTTTAGTCACGGACGACTGAAGCCCATATTCAAACCCAGGACCATGGCATTGTTGGCTGAGTGCTGTGACACCGGTGTTAATCTACTGCGAATTACATTGCCAGGAGCCCATTTACTGAGCTAATCCTGCAGAGTATGTGATGCTTAATTAGGTGCGGAATGCTCGCAATTAAAGAAACCTTAATTAAAATTCTCCAATTATTTCCAATGCCCGTTCACCCCCAAAATCCCGCCAACGCTTCTCTCATTAAGGCTTTCTTATTGATGTTTGGTTTGATTGATTATCTTCATTTAACGAGGTGAGAGCTCACTGAGATTCGTGGTGGATGTCGGAAGGATGACGACCGTTACGTAAACGTATTTGCCATTTAATTTCACTGTCTGCCTGTCCACCCATTTGTCAAGGTGTCCACTCATCTATCTGTCTGCCTGTCTATCCATCAGTATTTCCATCCATCCATCAGTCTCTATGTCTGTCATCTACCTGTCTCTTTGGACATCCATCCATGCTCATTTACCCAGGAACACTCGAGTCTCATGACTTATTTTCCCATATCTCTTTTCATCTATCATCTAATCGCCCACCCACCCACCCATCTATCTGTGAGCCTGTCCACCGTTCGGCAACCAACTCCTCCCTCTCCTCGCAGCACCAGGGGAAAACGGTGGCTGCGTGGTGTGTGGACAATGCCAAACTCTAACATTATAGTCCAACCGATTACCCTCGAAGCACGCTCGCAGCCACCAACGCGGCAAGCGGCGGCTCCGGTCCCGTGCGGGGCGCTGGTTACCCATCCAACGTGGGTCTCGTTTGACGTGTGCACGAGTTCCCGAGGGGATAATCGTCCGCTACACCCCCTCGACAAACCCCCGCACAGTCGAGCCAGGGGAATGAATCACCCCCCTCCCCCCGCCCCCTTTCAGGGAGCCCCCAGAAACAAAAATGTAATCGCTGCTGCAGCTGGCCTGGTGGAATGTCCGAACGCTCGCTGGGGAGAAGCTGCCATTCCTCTGTTGGGCACTGGACCGGGGAGTTGAGTGAGACGAGAGGGGGGGGAGAGGTAGGTGCGGGCCCGGTAAATGAAGAATATTGAATTTGGCGAAAGCAATATTGATATTGATCTGAGACTGGACTGGGTAGCGATGAAGGTATTGGAGAATTGGGGTGATGTGGTCTCATTTATCAGCTCGGATGGGAGGTCTGGCGGCACCATTCTGCACCGGCTGGAGTTTGGAGGTGATGGATTTCAGAGGCCTTAGCAGAGAGAGGTGCGATCGTCAAGTCCGATGAGGGCACGGATGAGAGTCTGAGCAACAGCTGCTGCAAGAGAGTGTCAGATGCAGGCAGGATCGTCCATAGCGGGGTGCGGGACCCAGGGCAAATCCCACTGTGTGGGTCCCCCGACGACTTCAAACTAAGCCAGGTCTGACGTCTTGACGTCAAAGCGCGGGGCCCCCCAAAGCGCGGAATCCGGGGCAGTCGCCCCGATTCGCCGTGCCCCTCGGGATGGCTCTGGTTGCAGGAGATGTTCTGCTGATGGAGGTAAGAGGTCCTGCAGAGCTGTGGCATGTGGGAAGCGAAGGACAGCTGAGGATCGATGGTCTTTCCGAATGTGATGTCAGAGCTTCAGAGGTGCTCGCTGAAGCTGGAGTCTTGACCGAGCTTGTAGTTTTTTGTTTTTTTCCAATGAGGAGGACTTCTGTTTTTGCAGCTAGGGGCCGCATCGAGGCAGGACATGAGTGTTAACAGCGATATTGGGTGCGGCATTAACCGGCATTCACCACATCTGCACTTGCATCAAAGGTCGTATGGCGGATCATCATCGATGTCCGTCTTTGTTTCTCTGTGGGCGAGCAGGTTCGTCCTGGTGCTGAGCTGCCTGGTGCTATCCGTGTTCTCCACCATCCAGACGTACCAGGACGCCGCCTCCAAGGCAGTGCTGCTGCTGGTGGGGACGCACACACGCACGCACACACACGCACACACGCACACACGCATGCACACATGGGGGCTCCACCGGGGCCTGCGTGGAGCGGAGGGCTAAGGGTCGGTGTCCTCCCGAATTCGTGAAGAACGACAACAAAGCCTTGAGCTCTAGATGTTTTTTTGTAGTCCCAGACCAGGTCGATAAAGCGGAGATGTAGGTCCTGTTGAAATCCCCTTCCCTGCTCTTCTCCTGCAGCAGATGGACCAAGAATATGGCCTCGAAACCCGATTTACCATGTCGGGTCCTATTTAAGAAGCTTCAGAGTTCTGGATCGTCCGCTATCTCGTCTCGCGCCACCTCCCCCCCACCTCCCACCTCCTTCATAGGTGCTGCTCACTAACAGCACTTGCCCCAACAGTCTGTTGAAGGCTATACGGGGGGGGGAGGGCATCTTCGTCTTTGCCTATCGCGTGTGTGTGTGTGTATAGCGTGTGAATGTGCGTCTGCGCGCGTGCCGTGTCCGTGGGCAGGAGTACATCATGATCGGGGTGTTTGGCCTTGAGTACTTCGCCCGCATCTGGGCGGCCGGCTGCTGCTGCCGCTACCGGGGATGGAGGGGACGATGCCGCTTCGCGCGGAAGCCGTTCTGCGTCATCGGTACGATGGCGGGCGGCGCGAGGGAGTCGGCGGCGATGCGTGTGCTCGTTTGTGCCGCTAAAAAAAAGTAATAATAATTTACACGCAGTCAAACAGAAAATCTGGTGTTTTGTGAGCAAAACATGTGATGGTATTTCCGTGACGGGGTCCGCGGTGATCGCTCAACTCCCACGGCCTCGCGAAGACCGGCGGTGACGTGCGGACCCGGGCTAGGGACCACTGCCCGTCTCGAGGCGCTCTCCACAGCTGCTGCCTGTCCAGCCGTGGCGCCAGCAAGACGTTGCAGGGCCGCACTTCAGATATTTAAAACGTCTTGTAGACAACTTGGACGTGCGCGTGATTTCAGCAGGGGGTAGAGCTTGGTATCGCGCTTCTCGGCGGTACGTACAGTCGATATACAGCAGAGACGGTTGCTATGGTTACGGAAAGGGTAGCTTTTGTTTTTGCCCTTGAAGTTTCTCCATGAAGACTTTAATTTGTTGAATAAATCACTCATTTAGCGTTCTTCACTTGATCCTTATGGCGGTACCTTGGGGTACCAAATAATACAAAATGGCCGAGGCAATTAAATATTTTATTTCTGGGACACTATTTTTTGCAGGGGTGTAACTGAACTCCGCGACTGGGTTACCAATCAATCTGAAATCAGTGCCACTCCGTGATGTCGAAACGCCAAACATTAGCATAACAAAATCCGTTATCGAAAAATTCAACTTTGAATAGTGCATCGTGTACAGCTCTTCGAGACGAGTCGATTGCCACAACACCGACCATCAAAAGACAAAAAATAACTGCATCACTATGATACCCCGGGGTACCGCCATAAGGTTAACTTATTTATCGTTACGAGACCACATCCTGAGTGCAATCACTTCAAACGACTTCAGTAGTCGGGTGCCGAGAAAGAAGGAGAGGAGAGCAAAGGAAATTCTCCAGAAGAGTGTGGGAGCCAAGGGCTCCGATTTGTCGTGCGCACGTCGCTCCACGCTCTGAGCTCCGTGGCGTCGCTCTCTGTCCCGCCGGTGCGCGCAGACATCATCGTGCTGATCGCATCGCTGGCCGTGATCATCGCCGGCACCCAGGGCAACGTGTTCGCCACGTCGGCGCTGCGCTCCCTGCGCTTTCTGCAGATCCTGCGCATGGTTCGCATGGACCGGCGCGGCGGCACCTGGCGGCTGCTGGGCTCCGTGGTGTACGCACACAGCAAGGTGAGGGCCACGTGGTGTACACACACACAAGGTGAGGACTACGTGGTGTACACACACACAAGGTGAGGGCCACGTGGTGTACACACACACAAGGTGAGGGCCACGTGGTGTACGCACACACAAGGTGAGGGCCATGTGGTGTACACACGATGACCGATGACAAAACCTCGTGTGTCACGTGCGCGCACCGCCCCCCCACCGCAATCCCTCCAGGATTTCAATGATTTGCCCCCCACCCTCCCTTCACCCCCCCCCAACCACCACCACCCCTTTGATGTGGATGATGTTTCACATTTTTTGTTCACTGTTCCATTCGTGACTCAAACTTTGTTTATTATTATTGATGATGAATGTGACTGCAGGGGCTGCATGAACCAACCACACTGAACACACACACGGTGTGGTGACGCATCACTACGTGTTTACGTCATAGCCGTTTCACACGTTTGCCGCAACACCTGGTAAAATCGCAAGGCGCCTAGTCTGGCACAGGCCTGCCCTCGGTGGTGACGGTGCGTGGCGTTGCGGCGTGCAGGAGCTGATCACGGCGTGGTACATCGGCTTCCTGGTGCTCATCTTCTCCTCCTTCCTCGTCTACCTCCTCGAGAAGGACGAGGACAACAAGTACTTCGAGACGTATGCCGACGCGCTCTGGTGGGGCACGGTGAGGCGCGGCACGCACACGCACGCACGCACACATGCACGCACGCACACACGCGCACATGCACACATGCACGCGCATGCACATGCATGCACACGCATGCACACACGCACGTACACACGCACACACACACATGCACATGCACGCACACGCACGCACACACGCACGTACACACGCACACACACGCATGCACATGCACGCACACGCACGCACACACGCATGCACATATGCACACACACACATGCACATTAGCACACATGCACGCACACGCACATGCACATACGCACACATGCACACACGCATGCACACGCACGCACACACGTGCACGCACACACGCATGCACGCATGCACATGCGCACACACGCACATGCACACGCACGCACACACGTGCACGCATGCACGCACGCATGCACATGCGCACATACGCACACACGCATGCACACGCACGCACACGCACGCACACACGTGCACGCACGCACGCATGCACGGACCCATGCACATGCACACGCAGCCACGGACTAATTCCCAGCCATAGTCCTAACTCTCACCATCGTCTTAACGTGAACCCCTAACCCTTGCCTTGTCTCAAACTCCACCCATCGCTTTGGCATTTCGGCCCCCAAATCAAGATCACGAGTTTCTCTGCGCCACCCCCTAGCTCCTTGTGGGAACCCCCCTCCCCTTTCCCATGCCACAACCCACGGGTGACTAAGACCGCAATACGGAGAGAGATGATGTGGCAATGCATCTGGCCAATGCGGCGTTGGTTTCATGTTGTGAATCTTCGCTTGGTTTGCAGCCGCGGCGGGACGCTGATCTTTCCCGCTCACGTTTGATATTTCCTCTTGCACAGTATCCATGCCGCAGCTTGCACTGCCCCCTCCACCCCTTCCTAGGGCTGACTCTGTCCCTGTGCCCCCTCCCGCTTGTCAGGTGACGCTCACCACCATCGGCTACGGGGATAAGTACCCGGTGACGTGGGGGGGGCGGCTCTTGGCGGCCGCTTTCGCCATCATCGGCATCTCCTTCTTCGCGCTGCCCGCCGTAAGACACACATCATCATCATCATCATCATCGCCGCTATGACACGTCGCCGTCGTCATCACTACGACACATTATCATCATCACTACGACGCATCATCATTATCGCTACAACGCATCATCATCGCGATGAAGCATTATCATCACGATGATGCATCATCATCATCATCATTGCGATGACACATCATTATGTATGCATGGATGTTGGACTTCATCGCACCGTACGTAGCCAACCGGTGCTCATCGGAAGTGCGGGGGAAGGGCAACCATTGCAGCGAAACATCGTCAAGAAACACATCATCATCACGACGACGATGCATCATCATCCTCATCACGACGACGATGCATCATCATGATGACAGGCCAGTGTGGTGGCACAGTAGTCGTAGTGAGCGCTGATGAGGATTAACGTGGTAGCGCGAATCTCATGCATATTGATGATTATGGTAATGATGATAATGTTAATCACATGCATGTTGATGATTATGGTGATGATGACAATGTTAATGATGTCAATAATGACGGTGAAAGCGACCATAGTGATGTGATGATGACGACGATGATGCTGATGATAACGGTGGTGCCCCCAGGGCATTCTGGGCTCAGGCTTTGCCCTCAAGGTGCAGGAGCAGCACAGACAGAAGCACTTTGAGAAGAGACGGAGCCCAGCAGCAGGCCTCATACAGGTGGGAGAGAGTGTGAGAGTGTGAGAGAGTGTGAGAGAGAGAGTGTGATAGAGTGTGAGAGAGTGCGAGAAAGTGTGAGAGAGTGCGAGAGTGTGTGAGAGAGTGTGAGTGAGAGTTTGACAGCGTGTGTGAGAGAGTGTGAGAGGAGAGAGAGTGTGAGAGAGTGTGAGAGAGAGTGTGAGAGAGAGTGTCTGTGTGTGTGGATGGGTGGACGTGAAGTGGTTAGTACACTAAGCCACCGACCAGGCGACCTAAGTTTGTTTCCCGCTCAGAGCCAATATCAGTGCTGAATATCCGAACCGGTCCTGGACCGCCCCTAGGTTTCTTCACTACCGGAGAGACAAAGACGGAGGGGCGTGGTACTGACCACACCACCACCCCCTCGTGCGCCCTCTAAGCCTAAATTGGTGCTCGCTAACAGCACTTGTCCCCACGGTGTTGAAGGCTATACGGGGATCTTTACCTGTTAGTGTGTGACTGTGCGTGTGTGCGCACGCATGCTGACATCGTACATAACACACGTGTCGATGTGGGGACATGAATGATGATGCCTTTGCGTGGGCTGGCAGCGGCCGACTTCGAGTAGCGGCAGAAGCCATCACTCGTGGGCCTGTTCTGTTGCATCGTGCCAGTCAGCCTCCCACTCAGAGCACACCTAGCCTGGCTCGGGACTGTGGTGATGTCACTACCATGTAACGGAATATTAATAACTTAGCAGATTTTGAAAACCATGCTCTTTTCTGGTGACGATGATTGTGATGGTGACAAGGATTGAAGGTGATGATGATGACCATGGTGATGATGTTGATGATCACAATGGTGACGATGGTGACGATGGTGACGATGATGGTGACGATGGTGACGATGATGGTGACGATGGTGACGATGTTGATGATTATAATGGTGACCATGGTGATGATGGTGACGATGGTGACCATGGTGACGATGGTGACGATGGTGATGATGGTGACGATGGTGACGATGGTGATGATGGTGACGATGGTGACGATGGTGACGATGATGGTGACGATGGTGACGATGGTGACGATGGTGATGATGATGGTGATGATGTTGATGATGTTGATGATCACAATGGTGATGATGGTGACGATGGTGACGATGGTGATGATGGTGATGATGGTGATGATGGTGACGATGATGGTGACGATGGTGACGATGGTGACGATGGTGACGATGATGGTGACGATGGTGACGATGGTGACGATGATGGTGACGATGACGGTGATGATGATGGTGACGACGATGGTGACCATGGTGACGATGATGACGATGGTGACGATGGTGACGATGGTGATGATGGTGATGATGTTGATGATTATAATGGTGACCATGGTGACGATGGTGACGATGGTGATCATGGTGACGATGGTGACGATGGTGATGATGGTGATGATGGTGACGATGGTGACGATGGTGACGATGATGGTGACGATGGTGACGATGGTGATGATGGTGACGATGATGGTGACGATGGTGATGATGGTGACGATGGTGACGATGGTGACGATGATGGTGACGATGGTGACGATGGTGACGATGGTGATGATGGTGATGATGGTGACGATGATGGTGACGATGGTGACGATGGTGACGATGGTGACGATGATGGTGACGATGGTGACGATGGTGACGATGATGGTGACGATGATGGTGATGATGATGGTGACGACGATGGTGACGATGGTGACGATGGTGACGATGGTGACGATGGTGATGATGTTGATGATTATAATGGTGACCATGGTGACGTTGGTGACGATGGTGACCATGGTGACGATGGTGACGATGGTGACGATGGTGACGATGGTGACGATGGTGACGATGGTGACGATGGTGACGATGATGGTGACGATGGTGACGATGGTGATGATGGTGACGATGATGGTGACGATGGTGACGATGGTGACGATGGTGACGATGGTGACGATGATGGTGACGATGGTGACGATGGTGACGATGGTGATGATGTTGATGATCACAATGGTGATGATGGTGACGATGGTGACGATGGTGACGATGGTGATGACGATGGTGACGATGATGGTGACGATGATGGTGACGATGATGGTGACGATGATGGTGATGATGGTGACGATGATGGTGACGATGATGGTGACGACGGTGATTGCAGGCAGCGTGGAGGATCCACGCCACGGACCCGTCCCGCGTGGACCTCACCTCCACGTGGAGATTCTACTACGAGTGCATCCCGTCGCTAAGGCAGGTGTCCACAGCCACTTCACCCGACCCTTACCCTTGTACCTTGCCTAACAATTGAACCCCTTAATCATAATCCTAACCCCTAACCCTGACCTTAACCGCCAACTCTAACCCCTGGCCCCAACCCTCACCTTAACCCCTGACCCTCGCACCCCACGCTACGCCTGCGCTGCCCGCACACCACCGCTCACTGGTCGCATGGAGGCTGCATGAGCGTCGCGAGCGGCTTGCGTCGGCGCCGGGAGCCATCCAGCAGCGGAGCGCGCGGAGTCACGAGTCGCACGGCCCGAGGGTCAGGGTCGTCTCGGGCAGCCTGACGCACGCCGACAGTCGGGACTTCTCTCATCGGCACTTTCCCTGGGAGCAGTTCCACCATCGCAGACGCACGATCCAGATGTGGGGGTGACCGCCAGGGCAGCCGCGAAGCGGCTTTCTACTTGGGGCATAACAAATTGACCGATTAGCGCCGTTGAGTCGGAGGGAAATAATTTTGTCCGCCTGCTTTGATGAGGCAGAAATGCTCGTAAAATTACGGCGGTGTCGGACCGACTTGGACGAACCGACTTTCTCGTGCGTGCTGGGTTGGTGACGGTGTGTTCCGTTTCGTGTGCGTGTCATTCCCGTCATTTGTTCCGTAGAGAAGCTACCATGTTGGTTAGCACAGGCGGCTATGTACGGTGCGAAAGAAGTTCAACATACATACATATTAGGATGATTTTTTATGTTGAGGTCTCATTTAGGGAACTGCCCTTGAGTGAAATTTAATTAGTTTTTTTTTCCTCTCCCACAATTGCATCTCAACGCCATCGTCGTCGTCGTCGTCGTCGGGGTCACGAGACGAAATGATTTGCAGTCGGAATTCTCTCGACATTTGTTAGACCTGCCCCAGAATCCATGGTTGTCACAGCGCAGCATCTCATGTAACATCGATAGATCTTTTATTTTACATTAGTCGAGCACCTTTTAGCCGCCCCGTTAAGAGCACTTGTAGCATGTCAATACAACTGAAACTGTTTTAATTACCGCAGCTAGGATTTAGCCAATTTAAGTGCGTTTTTTTTATTACGATGGGGTATTTTTAAATCCTTTATATTAAGTTCGCTTGCTTGCTTGCGCGCTTGCGACCGTGCAAATCTTTTGGTCGTTTTTTAACCCACTTCCTGTGATCCAATTGAGCTGACATTTTGCACACAGACTCGTTGTGCGTGACAATTTATTTTCGTGAAAAAAAAATTCCTAATTTTTCCACTATTCCAAAATTTTCCACCTTTTTATTTAAAATACCAATGTGATAAAAATGAAACTCTTACTCAAGAAAAACAGAAATGAATAATAAAATAAAACCGATGCCACGCATATAAAGGATTTATAGTGAAAAACTTTGTTTTTACGGGTTAATTTTTTGTGTGTGGAGTCATCAACTCGCATTTCATAACGGGCGCGCAAAACCCGCATTCACACTCGGATGGCAGCTTTGCTGGCTCAGCATTCTCTGACGTGGCCATTATGAACTCTTGAGCCACCTGGCCAGCCAACGAGGGTTGGCATCACCACCTTTGCTTGCCACCCATCGTGGGGTCACGACTGAATCGCCCAGTGAAACTCTGCACTCAGCAGCTCGATAGACTTCCAAGAATCCAAAAAGTGGCTTCTAAGTGGCCAAGTCTTGAAGGTTTTATCAAAAGCCTAAGAATATTAAAAGCGTGCCTTCATTTGGCTACGAGACACCTGAATGTGCTCTGGCTCCCGGGGCAGAGCGATTGTAGAGACATTAGTCTGTAAATGATCGTTGCCGCCGTTCATGCACCTGCACTCTGGCGTGACATGCCCCCTGCGACCGCAATCACAGTGGGAACCCTCTGTGTTTTTAGCTGCCCGCTTGTTTCCGTAGTTACTGGAAAGCACTTTATGTGGAGAACTTTAAGTGGCCGTGTCACAGGCTATTAGCGCCAGCAAATGTTCCTGTCGACAAAAAATATCGTCGCCTTTCAAACAGCGCAACGTGCGTGACTCTAAAAGATAGAAGCATTCTGAAGTCGTTTGTGTATCCGCAAAAGCTTCACTGAGTCCCAAGACCCCCGATTTTAGGAGGATCTTGCATTGGGCAGTTTGGCCAGTTCCTCTGTTAGGAAAGGCACATGGGAGGAGAATGGAGCGTCCGCAGAGACTCCCCCGCTGTGCACGTGGGCATTTCCTCCTCTTCCGAGGGAGATGGCTGGACAGCATGGAAAATAGGCCAATATTATTTGAGTGGAGGCCCCTTCTGCCAAAAGTGATGTAAGCAAGACATTTCAGGGATGCTCCATTTTACATGTTACGTGTCGGCGGGCAACACTCAAAAGTCCACAGACGGCTGAACTCCGACCACGACTGGCCGCCTCGTGACCCTGCGGACTTTGTGTGTTTCATAAATCTCTGGGTGTTCCATCAACCCCCCCCAACCCTCCAAAGCGGTGGATCACGACGCACGCGATCATTATTGCGGTGGCGCTGCCACTGTATTCTTTGATCAGGATGTGGGAAGCATTGGGATGCGCAAGAAGCGGGGAAAGCAGTGGGTGGGGAGCAGGGCAATTCGTGAGGAGCAGGGAGCGCGGGTATGCGTAAGAAGCGGGGGAGCGGGGGGGATGCGTGAGGAGCAGGGAGCGGGGAGCGAGGGGTGTTCACGCTCGGCTGAGTTATCGCCACGGAGGACGAGTGGCGGCGGCAGTGAGGATCACTGCCGTCGCCTCCTGACATGAGGAATTGAGCCACCCGTCCTCGCGCCTCGATCACCGAGCCAAACTGGCAATCGCTTTTTCATTTTTTATCCGCGCGGACGGAGGTGTACGGGCAGCCGTCGGCTTGAGCTAGAAAATAATAATAACTTTGGCTCCTCCAATATAAAATAATAATGCTGGCATCTTCCGTCTCTTAATGCCGAAGCTGTGGACTTCTCTGATAGAAAGCAAATGGTAGAGAGATGATCCGTGGTTGGAAATTAAAATAAATGTCCGTGGTACTGCATCGGCAGCGGTGCACGAGCACAAATAATTGTCAATAACACTGCCCGAAGTAGGAGGGAGATCTCTGCTTTGAAGAAGAGCCATTGCCTGAATCGTCACCTATCATGTCACTTTTCCTCTTCATGGCAGTGTTATTAATGAATGTGTTGACTTTTTGGGAACAGTTCCTTAACAGTGAAACTAAGCTGAACACCAGCTCCTTACCCTGGATATAGCTCCCAAAAAAACCCTCACGAAACACATTTGCAGACAGCAATGGATCGATTCCTATGTTCACGGTGGAGGCATGGAACCGAGCACGTGAGAATCCATCAATTACGGTTCGCGTAATTTGCAGTACGGTATACGCAAACATGATGCTAACGGTATCCTGAGGCCAACGGAGCACCTTGGGGTTGTCACGCACGGGGGGGGGGGGGTGTGGAGATGGAATGTTCGGTGTGGGGCAGGTTACTTGCTCTAGCATCATAGCAAGTTCTATAGCGCCGTAACATTATATTAGAGAAGAGACATCGGAATAGGAGAAGGGTGGGGGTCTTGCACCTGCTTTGGAAAGGGGGCAGGGATTTGGTGGAAAGCTATTTTATTAACTTTTTTATTTGACAAGGTAAAGCCCACTGAGCTATTAGCTCTTCAGAAGCGGCCTGGACAGAGATGATAAATGTGGAGGGGAAGAACCTAGAGGACTCGGAGAAAAATCCACGTGACCAATTGGAGAACACCCAAATTCCAAATATACAGCAGCAGGCGTCAGGGTTGGGATCGAACCCACGACCCCTTGCATACCAGGCGAGGGAGATAACATCTCGCCAACGTACAGGTGGCAGGGAATTCTAGACTGGGGTATCATGGACAGAAAATGATACAATTTACCCATGAGAGCCTCACTTGAGTCTCAAGACGGCTTCATGTCGGGGTCCTGTTAGGAATGTTTGGCCAATCGCTTTTTTTTCCAGTGTATTGTGTCTTGAAAGAAACCGACGTGTCTGCAGAAAAACTCATAAATATGAGAGGAACAGGGGATATTTTTTCTCTGCACGTAAAAAATACACCCCAATTTCAGCAAAATTGTTTCAGCACAAGCAGTTTTTGACAATCATTAGTACCTCATCAGCACATTCGGGCTTGCTTGAAGCAATGCTGGTGAATGGCCAGGTGTTTATCTCTGTTCGACATGGGTCCCAGTTTTGTTGCTTATATTTTCCACAAGCGAGAAAATTGCTCGCACGCCAGTGCATGGATTTGTTAACGACCTACCTGATGTACTGTACTGCCTCAGCAGACACCACTTCGAAAATGCAATTAACCAGAACGTAGACTTTACCTCTAACGAGGGCGAGCGACGGAGTGCATTAAGCGCCGGTTTAAATGCACAACAGGAGCATAATAGATGGTGGAGGATTCAGCCGCGCCACAAGTATAATTAAGCATATTTAAGCAGCTGATATGCGGCTCACTGCTGTGCCAGGGGAATGTTCTGTCTGTACGCGTGTCTGTGAATACTTAGTGATGCTGTGGACCAGTGCCAATTGGTTTACGCACGTTAAAACGCGAGGCTGAAAGCGTGTATGAATCTGTTCTCTTAAGTCCTCTAGATCTCCCTAGGTTAAGTCTGTGGCGTCCCTGTGTACATTGATGAGTCTCTGTGATTGTGTGGTCTATGTAAATTCAGCGGGGCTCGATGCAAGCCCTTGAGTGTCAGGCACCCTAGCAGGGGGACTAGGCAAGGGAAGGCACCGGCTCGGCCTATGAATAAAATAGACATTCAGGCATTTTTGAGAATGAGGAATCAAGTAAGAATGTAAAATGAAAATATCTAATGTTATTGGCATTGATATGTAGAGATAAAGCCAGTCTTCTGGTTAAATATCTCAACCCCTCCACATGCAAAACAAGGTGCGGCCATTTTGAACATTGCCGTCAGGTTGCCACGACGACTTCGTGACCCCATCCAGGCAATGCGAGTGCTCCGTTGCATGTGCAGCAAAAACACGTTTTA